TGGACAAAATTGTGACAATTTAAACAAAAAGAGTCATAATTACAATAGAATGGAATATACTGAATCAATAAAAATGTAGAAAACAGTTGGCAGTGACATAAAAGATGGCTTAGTAACAGAAGAAATTACTGCAATAATCAAGAAATAATCAAGGCATGGGGGTGGGGGGGGCTGGTAAAACTGAAGATGAGACAGAGAAAGGGGGAGGAAGCCATGGGGGGAGGAAACAATGACTATTTGAGGCACCTATTAAGCTATGATAATTAGTAACTAAAGAGACTTTTTAGTGTTCACCCTTTCAGCAGGAACTGTATTTCACAGTAATCCAATAGGTCAGGTGAAGGAAAGACCTACTTTACAAAAGAATGACAGTTAATAAGTGAAAAATGAAACAATTTCTTTTAAAGCAACATAATTTTGGGCGTCCCTGGTGGCACAAGGGGTTAAGTCAAGTCTCAGCAACATCAAGCTATTACCAGCCACTGCAGCATGAGTTCAATCCCCTTCCAGGGAGCTTACCCACATGGTGCAATAGACCTCTACTGTCTCACCAGCTGCTCCCCTCAGCAGTCTATTTCATAGATCCGCCTGTTTTGCTCCCCACTCTGTCTCTGGTGAATCCTTACTCCCTACACCCCTATTCTTGCATGCATGCATAAATGAAAAATAAATCTTAAAAAAAAAAAATCCAACCTAAGTTTGTAATTCCTAATGAACCTTATTTAGGCAAGAATTGAGCAAAGTTAAAACCACTCGATGAATCATTGGCACTGGTATAATAACTACCCCCATATCTTTTTCTGATCATAGGTTGAAAATGTGCAAGGGAGAAATAAACTGTCACCCTCTTCCATCTTCACACTAATGGGAGAACCAGATACTGGATCTCTTGATGTGAAAAAATATAAAGCACTCATCAATAATGTTTACCTTGATTAAGAACTAGAGAAATTGACCAGATAACACCAAAGCAGCAATAGCACAAAATGAGAAAGTGGGACTTTCTGCAGAGTATCTAACTGGTCTGTTGCCTTCAAAGAGCTGGTGTCAGAACTATTTTAGATTCCAAGAGAATTAAGGGATACAATCAGATGCAAAATGATGGTCCCCATACAGGAACCACAAATTAGCAATAAATGACATTTTATGAACAGCTGGATATAAGTGGTAATACCTAGTTTATATTTACAATGTTAATGACTCATTATGTGGTCACATTATTCTGGCCACATACAGAAAATAAGTTTTTTCATAAAAGGCATAAAGTTAAATAATTTATTTAAATTACATGAGCCTGGTCTTTTTCAAGGAAAATGAAGTTAAAGCCACCTCAACTGACAAGACAAAATATTAAATTTAATCTCTCTCTTTTCAGGCCTCCCCAGGTGGCGCAGCGGTTGAGCACTGGGCTGCAAAGCTACCCGCAGCCTCTGCAGTACCGGTTCAATCCCCGGCCACCGGCAAGGGTCCCACATGGCGCACAGACCTCTCCTGCCGCCCGCTGCTCCCCTCAGCAGTGTATTTCGTCGGTCTGCCTGTTCTGTTCCCCTCTCTGGCTCTGGTGAATTCTCTCACCTTCCCGCGCTTCTGACTGTATAAATAAATAAATAAATCTTAAAAAAAAAAAAGTTTATTCCAGCTCCCTAGTTTAAAAAAACAAACAAAAAAATAATAATATCTCCCTTTTCCTTTATGTGCTTTTGGTTCATCCTATGCTTTCTTTCCCAAACATAACGGAGAAAGAGGGTGGATGGAGGGAAAGAAGAGGAGGAAGCAGGAAGAAAAATTCATGTGTAGAGAGACCCTTTTATTTGATTAGGCTCTTCTTAGAGCTACAAGTTAGGGCATATTTGAAAAGGTAGTGACACTAACTTTGGTGCCAATTTACTTCTTTCAATCCAATTTTCCACTGGGTCTTTTCCAATTGTTTGCTAAATCCTATTCTGATTTTTTTTTTTAACTTCCATGGGATTTCTTAGCAGTTGTCTCCATTTTCATTGCAATTGAAGTTAATTTAGTCCTTCATTTCTAAGCTTCAACTATTAACCTCTTCTACACCAATCTTCCTGACAGATGCCTGCTCATGCCACTCTTGCTGCTTAAAAAGCTAAGATGGCCCTTCCTATCTACCTTTCTTACATCCAAACTTTAAAGTCCTTTACAATTTGGACTTAGTCAACTATTTTCCTCCCTATCTTCAATCACTTACACACATGCACCCTACAGATCCTAAATTAATTGCAGCAAACTTACTCGAAGACATAGTCTTTTAATACATGCTAATACATTCATCTTAAACTCCTACTAGCCTCCATGCCAACTCAGGTCACATGTTAAGAGTCTGTAAGTCCCTACACACAAAGGCACAGACGTTCACTACTCCCTCCTCTGTAGATCATACATTTGCTGTAGCACCCATCATCTTAGTTTGTATCTCTCAGTGTCTTATGTAATTGTCTAGCAACATTGCGCTAATGAACAAGTCTAAACATTCTTTTCTTCATGATCCAGAATCAAGTCTTCATAGAAGAAAAACCCAAAACAATTCAGTAACAAAACCATACTTCTTGTTTGTTTTCTTTTAAATAGAACCATTCATTCAACAAATATTTACTAATAATCACTTAGCTACTAAGAACAAAGAGTTAAGAACACATGATGTTGGATCATAACTTACTGAGGGAGAAAATAAAAATCTCCATGTAATCATACTACAACCTTTTATTTTTTATAGACATTCTAATTTAGGAACTTATTTTCCACTTCTTCAACTACTAATAATGGCATCCCATAGTTGATATTTATGTCTTTAAGATTACAACTAGTCTACAAACCTTTCGCAAATTATTCTTCCTAACAATGAATTTTTTTTTTTTTGAAGAGCTGACTTTTGACTAAGGAATTGGAAAGTTTATCTGTAATGACTTCTGATCCCATAGCTGCTTTAAAACTATGATTCTGTGGCTTCTATTCCCCAGCTGCTTTAGAGAAAGTTCTTCTGCTTGTTAGAAAACAAATTCAAATCCCTTTGTTTTCAATTCAAAATATTCCATCTTTTCAGACTTTGGTCCAGCCTTCTCTTTTTAATTTTTTATGATATTGGCAGACAAACTGTCACCTTTCAAAATATGCTCCACATTTCCTGATCTCCATACTATTAGTCATACTGTTTCACACTAAAATCCTGTCCATTCTTCGAATTTAAGTCCAAATACTATCCCCTACAAGCATCCCCACCAGGCCACAGTACATCATAAACTATTTTCTCATACTCACAAATTCTTTTCCCATAGTACTAGAACCATGATTGCCACAGAGCAAGACTAGACGAGAATAAATTTGTTGAATGTAATTCTTCAAAGACCAATCTGTAATTCATAGCTTTCAGTAGACTATTAAAATCAAATATGGCTTGTTTCCAATAACCCTATGCCAAATTTATTAGTGTCCATTAGTTTCATTCCTTACAGTGAGAAGATACACTTGAAATAACTTGATGAATAAAGTCTGCAACTTTAAAAACAAACTTACTTTGAAATCACACTTTTGATGAAAAGGGAAATAGAATTATTTTAGTGGTATTTTAAAATGAAAAAGGAACTATAAAGAAAATCAAATTATAAACATGAATCATAAATAACATACTTCCAATTACTACAAAAACATCAAGTCACTACTCTGAAACCATAAAAGGAAAACATCCCTTCTTAATACAATCCAGAGTCAATTTTCATTCACAGGTACATTTAAAAAATTTTGTGTAACACAAATCCTAACAACTTGTATTCATCTGTTTCTATCAAGAAACATGTAAGGTATCTGAAATGGCATATGAATAAATACAATTAGACTTTTTCATGGAAATATTCTGGAATTTTATATTTATGATATTAATCATGGCTGAAATGGCATAATTATCATACTCTTTAAATTATTCATCTTCTGTTTCTGCCAAGTATATTAGTTGAATTCTACAAATAAAGAACAAAATGTGACTCTATAGTAAACAGAACCCATTGGCTCCCTTGGAATACATTGTTTAAGTCCTTCTATAGCCTCAATTCAGGTAAGATACTTTTCACATCTCACTTCAAAGCCAAATCATCCTGCCTCTCAATAGCAACACATCACGGGTATTTCTTTCAGGTTTCCAAGATAGGTCAGATGATAAACCTCATTCAAGAGCTATACACAGCGGCAAAATGTCTATCCCAAGTGCCAAATAAATACATATCCTCTGCAAAAGATGACTTTTTATCTAAAAACCAAAATTTAAATCCTAACTGTGGATTTACATATTTCAAGACTACTACTGAAAAACAGTCAATGATTAAAAAAAAATAATTTAAAAAGAAAAAGCAGTCAATGATACCATGGTATGTATCTAAGGACTCATGATAATCTCTCAAAACAAGGTATTTGAATTGCAAAGGAGGGGACAGACTAAAAAGCTACAGAAAGAAACATGATATCAAAAATATCACTGAAAAGTGAAATTCTCATCTTGGTCTTCAAACTTGATCCTCTTCCTATTATCCCCACATAGTTTTCCAAGCCAGAAATGTGAGTATTAACTAATCTTGACTCTCTCCCATCTAATCACAGCATTCATAACCATTCTCTAATTCTTGCCCATTTTACCTCCTCCATCTTTCTCATCTACTCTGCCTTAATTCCCCAGCAGCTCTCAGACCCAAGTTTTCTTCTCTTCCCATCCTGTATCCTCCCCCTGCCAAGTGTTCTCCTAATAAAAAAAAATAAAAATAAAAAAAGTACTTACACCTCATGGCCCTAAAACTACATCTCCACATTTGAACCTTGGAATCTGACTAATCCTAACAGAAGATGCTCAAATATGTATTGAACTAAACAGAGGAAACCCAGGTTGCGTTACAAAACAACTAAGGTGCTTTTATGATCTAGCAGCCACCCGCCCACACCCCCTAGTCCCATGGAAGTCTGTCCATCTCATGGTCTGGATCTCCAGGACTCCCACTTACCTCTCACAAATCTCCATGCTTTAACAATTGCTATTGCTTCTGCCTGAAATGTTCATCTCTCCCTGTGGCCAGACATCTTTAGCCTCAAGTCATCCATCCTTCAAATGCCAACTCAGATATCCAACTTCAAAAGGGCCCTTCTTCCCCTATTCCTCCAAAAACAAAGGAATTTATCATTTCCTGCTGAGCTATTATGAACCATGAGTATATCTCTATTGCTGTATTCATTAACCCCATCATGTGTCACTCAAATACTGTAATAAAAGCTCCTTGCACTTTACACTTATACATTAAATATTTGCGTACTTTCAGAGCCAGGCTAAGAACTCAATGAATACTTACATAAATTCACGTGAAGTAACTGTGATAGCAAAAAAGCAAACATTCTGTAAGAGACAAGTGTACTAATAGAAGCAGTTTATATCTTACCAAGAATAGGAAAACTAGTAACTAGGTATCTAATCGTACAGGCAAAATCTAGAGAAACCAGACAGAAAGGATCTTAGTGGCCAAAGACTGTAAATACTAGTTTGAGGAGAGGCTGGAATAAGCAGCAAAGAAACTTATGTTAACATAAGTTCAACTGCAAACATAATCTCAGTGATATACCATGGAAAAATAAGAAACCCTCAGATATTGGCAAAGGCAAATGTATTGTCGAGTGCCCATCTGCCACGCTTTGCACTCGGTACATAATAGTTAACCTTCATAGAGCACTCACCACCAGGAAGACCTATGAAGTACTTCACATGCATTACCTCAGTAAGTAGACAGTATTATTCTCCTCACATAAGAAAGGGTGACCCAGAGAATGAGTAACTGGACTAAAATCACAGAGTGACACAACTGTGATTTTAACCCCAGTCTGATCCAAAAGTCTGTGCTTTCAACCACTATGCAACAATTGATCTATAGTACCTCAATTTACTTCTCACAGGGACAAATGATATCCTCCATCTTTTCTGGATCTTTTTTGGAGGAGGAAAACAAGACCCAGGCTTTAAATAATTTGCCCAAGGTCACATACTCCTTATAAATAAAACTGAAATTTGAACCTGTGATAACAGACTACAAAAATGTACACTATGTATTACATGACTGCCTCACACTGTAGGATTCTGTCACTGATAAAAACCCAAGATTTCATGTTCATCTTCCAAATACTACATTGCTGAGATCATGAACTTTCTAGTTTAACTCTCAGATATATCATCTTTTCACCTGTACTTTCTACTCCCAAACTCTGAATAATATCTAAGACAACAGATCTCAATCACTCCAGGAGCTTATAGGCATGTAAAACTTGAAAGTACCTCAAAGAACTTTTCATTTACGTGGATTACACCTATCAATAGTTACCATACTAGGGCCTCCCTGGTGGCACAAGCGGTTAAGTCTCAGCACTATCAAGCTATCAGCAGCCACTGCAGCATAAGTTTGATCCTCCTGGACCAGGAGTTAGCTCACAAGGCAAAGCAGACCTCTCCTGCCTCTCCAGCTGCTCCCCTCAGCAGTGTATTTCACCAGATCCGCTGATGGGAAGCCTTCTCCCCACTCTGTCTCTGGTGAATCCTCTCACATACACCCCAACACCTCTGAACTACACCCCAGTTCTTATATGCATAAATCAATAAAAATAAATCTTTTAAAAAAGCCACATAAAAATACCAAAAATAGTCAAATACCTGCAATATATCTCAAAATACAATTATAAAAGTATACTGAGTATAGATCAACAAACTTAAATAAATGAAAATATAAAAATAAATGACAATATCAGCTTAGAAATTTTAATCGATATACTTTAAGTCAAAATTACAGGTAAACGTATTAAGAAAATATTAGACAAACTAGATCCAATCAAGAGAAGTTAAATGCCCCACTAATATGGAGGGTATTAAATCAAAACCAAGATTTGTGTGGTAAATCTCACCAAGATCAGAAAGGTAAGCAGAGGGGGACCATCAATTCGAAATCTGCTTATGACAAGCAACAACTATGTAATTTACAGTTTCAGCATCAAATAATGGCTTTCAACAGAAATCTTTTCTTTTTTTTTTAATCTTTTCCTAGACCTTATATAACCTATTTGTTCCTCTCTCATAATGAATAAATTTATCACTAGGTACTGGGAATTTGGGTCTTTTGAACATTCAACATTTTTTTAGCTCCTAGTTCATGTATACAATCATTTCAGAAGTTCTGATGTACTGTTATAGGGCAGCCCCGATACAAAACGGGGTGCCTGACTGTGGGTCCTCACCCGCGTGCTTAAAAGGATTTATCAATGCTCTACTGCAGGCACACACAAAAGGTTAATAAAAGGTTTATTTACATGGGAAGGAAAAATGAGGAAATGTACAGCTCAGGGAGAAAAATGGGAGACAAAGTTTTAAATGCGTCCTACCCGATTCTGGAATCCCAAATGGCACTCGGGAGCTGGCTGCAAGCCAGGAGCCGTGAAGCCGAGCGACAGAGCGAGCGACCCCCAAGGCCCACGTGTTTGGTTTTTATACCCAACCTGGCTACTTAACTCCACCCTCATGTCCCAGCCACCTTCCCTTTGGTGGTGATGGGATTTGTCTTTCCCAATGTCCTGATGGCTTTGTCCTGGAGTGGGGTCCAGACCACTCCAGTGGTCCACAAAGCCTGTATGGGATTAGTGCAGGACATCTTTTCCCCTAACAGTACTAGCAAACACTTTCAATAGATCAATGGATGTTCCCCCCCCCCCTTAAAACTTAGAAAGGAAATTATCGATGAAATAGTGACCTTACAAATTATCAAAAAGTCTTTAACAATGCTAGAATATTGCTTTAAAGCCACGGTGTGATGTTTCAAGACGACTTGGAAAAGAAATCTGAGGCAATGGTGTTCAAAGGGAATTCAGTTACACACTGCTTTTTGACTGCAGATGTGTAAGTGACTGTCTTCCTAAAATATGGAATGCTTTAAAACTGAATTCTTGATCAACATTAACAGTATTCATAAATGAATTTTAGTGATTTTTTTCAATGCATAATCAAAAAAAAAGAATCACAAATACTGAAATATTCTGCCAGTTAGTTCTATTATGTCAACATGATCAGCCACGAATATAAGTATATATATAACTTGGGAGCAGCAATAGGGTCTCCTTCTATTATCAAATCCATATCACAGGTTCGCTCCAAATCACAGCATCAGGAATATGTGTTACGATGAGAATCAGGGAGCAAAATGCAATGAGATTAAAAACACAAACTAGAGTCAAAAAGTTCTAGCTCTGCATCCATGTGTTCACCATTCATCTTTAAAACTAAGGTTTCTTCCAAAGCTGTAAATAAGGACCTAGAGCATTTGGGCTTAACAGACATCTATAGAACACTAAACCCCAAAAAAATGGAGTACACATTCTTCTCAAGCGCACACGGATCATTCTCCAGGATCGATCACATACTGGGGCACAAGACAAATATCAACAGATACACCAAGATTGAAATCATATCAACCATCTTTTCTGACCATGAAGGCATCAAACTAGAAATAAACCATAAAAAGAAGGCAAGGAACTTTCCTACCTCATGGAGATTAAGAACCACACTACTGGAAGACCACTGGACTAATGAGGAGATCAAAGAAGAAATTAAAAAATTCTTTGAATTGAACGACAAGGAGGACACCAATATCCTAAATGTATGGGATGCAGCAAAAGCAGTAATAAGAGGAAAATATATAGCAATAGAAGCTCACATCAAGAAACAAGAAAGAACTCAAAGAAGCAACCTAATCTCGAAGCTCAAAGATCTAGAAAAAGAACAACAAAAAAACCCCAAAACCAGTAGAAGAAAAGAAATAATAAAAACAAAAGCAGAAATAAATGAAATTGAAACTAAAAAAACAATCCAAAAGATCAATGAAACCAAGAGCTGGTTCTTTGAAAAAAATCAATAAAATAGACAAACCCCTAGCCAGGCTCACAAAGGAAAAAACGGAGAAAGCAGAAATAAACAGGATCATCAATGAAAGAGGAGAAATCACAACGGACACAGCAGAAATCAAAAGAATAATCAGTAACTACTATGAAGAGTTATATGGAAACAAGTTTAACAATCTAGAGGAGATGGACAAATTCCTACAACTCTACAATCACCCAAAGCTAGATAAAGAAGAAATAGAACACCTAAACAGACCAATTACAAGCAGCGAAATTGAAATGGTAATCAAAAATCTCCCCAAAAACAAAAGCCCAGGACCTGATGGATTTACAAATGAATTCTACCAAACATTCAGAGATGAATTAGTGCCTATCCTTCACAAACTCTTCCAAAAAATTGAGAAGGAAGGGACAATACCAAACACGTTCTATGAAGCCAACATTACACTAATACCAAAACCGAACAAGGACAACACAAAAAAGGAAAACTACAGGCCAATCTCCCTAATGAACATGGATGCAAAAATCCTCCATAAAATTTTAGCTATCAGAATCCAACAATGTATCCATAAGATAATTCACCACGACCAAGTAGGATTCATTCCAGGGACACAAGGATGGTTTAACATCCGAAAATCAATCAACGTTATCCAACATATCAACAAAAGAAATATAAAAACCATATGATAATATCAATAGATGCTGAGAAAGCTTTCGACAAAGTGCAACACCCATTCATGATAAAAGCCCTTGAAATTCTTGGGATACAAGGAACATACCTCAACATCATAAAGGCCATCTATGACAAGCCAACAGCCAGTATTATTCTCAATGGTGAAAAGCTGAAAGCAATTCCATTAAGATCTGGAACAAGACAAGGATGTCCACTCTCACCACTGCTTTTCAATATAATACTGGAAGTCCTAGCCAGAGCAATAAGACAAGAGAAAGACATCCAAGGAATCCAAATAGGAAAAGAAGAAGTCAAACTATCACTATTTGCAGATGATATGATAATATACATAGAGAACCCCAAAAACTCCACAGAAAAACTAATTCAACTCATCAATCAGTTCAGTAAAGTGGCAGGATACAAAATCAACACGCAAAAGTCAGTAGCCTTCCTATACACAAACAAAAAATCTGAAGAAGAAGAAATCAAAAACACCATCCCTTTTTTTATTGAAACAAAAAAAATCAAATATTTGGGAATAAATCTAACAAAAGAGGTAAAGGACCTATACAAAGAAAACTATAAAACACTGTTAAAAGAAATAGAAGAAGACACAAAGAAATGGAAAGACATCCCCTGCTCATGGATTGGAAGAATAAACATTATTAAAATGGCCATCCTACCAAAAGCAATATACAGATTCAATGTTATTCCAATAAAAATTTCAATGTCATTCTTCAAAGAAATAGAACAATTATTGATGAAATTCATATGGAATCACAAAAAACCTCAAATAGCCAAAGCTCTCCTGAAAAAAAAAAGAAGGGAATGGAGGCATCACACTCCCAGACTTCAAACTATACTACAAAGCCATAATCATCAAAACTGCATGGTATTGGAATAAGAACAGACATACAGACCAATGGAATGGAATAGAAAATCCAGAAATAAACCCACAGATTTATGGTCAACTAATCTTTGACAAAGGAGCAAAGACTATGCATTGGAGCAAAGAGAGTTTGTTCAATAAATGGTGCTGGGAAAACTGGGTCACTACATGCAAAAGAATGAAGCTTGACCACTACCTCACACCATACACAAAAATCAACTCAAAATGGATTAAAGAACTAGACATAAGACCTGAAACCATAAAATATATAGAAGGAAATATAGGCGAAACGCTACGTGATTTGCACATAAAAGACATCTTTACAGACACATCACCCAAAGCAGTGAGAGTGAAGGCAAAGATCAACAGCTGGGACTACATCAAATTAAAGAGCTTCTGCACAGCAAAAGAGACAATAACAAAAACAAAGAGAAACCCCACTAACTGGGAGAACATTTTTGCACCCAACACTAATGATAAAGGACTGATCAGAAAAATCTGCAAAGAGCTGATGAGACTTAACAACAACAAAGAAAATAATCCAGTCAAAAAATGGGCAGAAGAGCTAAAAAGAAACTTCTCTGAAGAGGAAATGCGAATGGCCAACAGGCATATGAAAAAATGTTCAACATCACTTGTCATCAGGGAAATGCAAATCAAAACTACCATGAGATACCATCTTACACCAGTGAGAATGGCACATATTAAAAAAACTAGCAACAACAAATGTTGGCGAGGGTGTGGAGAAAAAGGAACTCTCCTGCACTGTTGGTGGGAGTCCAAACTGGTCCAACCACTATGGAGAGCTGTGTGGAGATTTATGGGCCTACTAAACATAGAGCTTCCATATGATCCAGCAATTCCACTCCTAGGTATTTACCCAAAGGACACAGAAACATCAATTCCAAAGAACACCTGCACCCCTATGTTTATTGCAGCACTGTTTACAATAGCTAAGCTTTGGAAACAGCCCAAATGCCCAAAAATAGATGACTGGATCAAGAAGATGTGGTACATATACACCATGGAATATTACTCAGCATTCAAAAAAGATAAACACATGCAGTTTGCAGCAACATGGATGGCGCTGGAAGGGATCATGCTCAGCGAAATAAGCCAAAAAGAAAAAGAAAAATACCGGATGGTCTCACTCATAGCAGGAAT